ATTTTCAAATCAGGCTGTGGCCCCGATTTCCCTTTCGGTATTTTTTCTTTACTATATCCCTAGATAGAAAAAAAAGGACAGAAAATTATTATAACCATTCTAGACAGCAACTAATTATTATTATTATTATTATTATTATACATTGTACTCATTATCCATCTTCTTATTGGCCAAGATCCTACAGCTAATTTTGGAAATCAGCGTTACCTACAGATTAGTTACATGTAGTTATAAATCTGCTGGCAGATAAATGACAAATCTGTAGGTTGCACTCACAATGCATGATTTCCAATAACAATAACTGTATCAATTCAGGTTTCTTGCGACGGTGTGTTTGTTGTTACTTTCTTCAAAACAATGTATAATAAAACAATAACAAATTATTAGATTTGGTTTTTGTGATCTCCTAAATAATCAAGGTCTCAGTAAGTGTTATCAGCCTTGGCCTTCGGCTCAGTTAATATAACTTTTCTCGATCTTGATTATTCTGGATATCACAAAAAACTCATCCTATAATTGTTTAATTATGTATAAGCTAATTAATTTCTATGGATAAGGAGTAAACAAAAAAGAATGCAAACTAACCTCAAATTCTTCTTCATCTGTGAAGTGATCAAATTCTTCTTGTTCATCATCAGGCTGAAAGAATTTTGATTCATTTAAGATGGAAGTACTTAACAGGGGGTATCCCAAGAAACTCCCGATACAACGACAAATTCTCCGTTAGTATTACAAGCACACTCCAAGGGAATCAAAAAGGGGAATCTAGTGGTTTATCACCACTCACTTTGAGTTTTTTAGGGTACCCTTTTCAATGAGAAGTTTTCAGCATAAAGGATGATTTTTGAAAATAAAAAAATTGGCAAGATTTGTAAATGTGGACTTGTAAGTGTGAATTCACCCAAGAGCTAATTTCAAGGACTATATGAAAGTGCTCATTATGAGGTTCAATTTGAATGGTCACACTGCAGATTTTTGGCCACAGACTCAAAGATAGAACCACCTTTCAAGATTCCACTTTTACTTGGGGAGGAAAAGAGCTTTTATCACCTGGGGATTTGTAGAAACCTTGCCATACATGAATATGAGCAAACTGTAAACAGATGTCGTCTAGCTTTGTTTTGTTTTTGTTTTTGTTTTTTTTTTACCCAAAACCTACATGAAATCCTTGATTTTAACAAAACTTGTACCTCCTCAACTGTTGCCTCTGATTCATCTGTTTCTTCTTGGGCATCACCTGTTACAGAAAAGACGCCTTTTCACATGACTGGCACACCTCATGAGCACGTCAAATTAAATATTGTGTATTAACTGGTAAAATATACATCCAATTTGCATTTAAACTACACAAAAAGTCGTAAAATAGTGATCAAATCGTATTCGCAACATCCTTTCAAACGATAACGACATTAGACAACAGCAAAAAACATCGTCCGAGTAAAGCTGAGAAATTCAATGAAAAATATAATATGAGATATCAGTTTGCAAACCGTTTCTAGGCCACACATGCAGCTTACGCTTACATAGTTCATTTTTTTAAAATAAAGCTGCAATTTAATTAACTTCCAAAATCGTGATAAATAAAGAAACAGATTTGATCACACCTTCTTCGTCGTCATCTTGATCGCCTGTTCCATGTTGTTGTGTCTCTGTTTCCTCTTCTTCGTCTTCATCCCCTTCGGTTTCAAACTCCGCAAAATCGTTCACACTGTCATCAGGCTCTTCTGAAGCTGTGATGTACGTCAAAAATCCCACGAGCAACAAAAAAATCATGATTAAAATGGGGCGAAACGGCTTCAAATAACTTCGAATGGTCGCCATATTGGCACTTGCCTGGTCTCTTGAAATCCCATGAGGCCATTCGCTCTTCTGCTCGCCCCAGGCGCCGCAAGCCAAATGAAGGGCTGAAAGGAATTGTGGGGAAGTGCCGCCATATTGAAATGAACGTTCGGGAATCGTGTTTTTGATTCCTAATAATTCTCAAAAGAAGTAAACTTTGTTTAAATTGGATAGTCAAAATGGGAAGCGAAGTAAAGATGGAGGTGGATGTGGATAAATTGAAGTCGAATATGCGAGATGAAAAGGAAAATTCGGATAAAGACCGAGACAGAGACAAGGACCGCCATCGACACCGGGACCGAGACAGACACCGTGACAAAGATTCTGAGCGAGACAAAGATCGTAAGAGAGATAAAGACAAGCACAGAGATAGGGATAAAAACGACAAAGACAGGGAGAGAAGAAGGGATAAGGATAGAGATAGAAAACACCGCAAAAGATCAAGGTAGTACAGTACTAGTAAATTCAGCTGTGTTGATAGACTCGAGATAGACCCTTTAGTTGGATTTGCGTGTACGTTCGAAACGAGCCATAACACAGCAGACACCTTTGTTGTCTAACGAGAAGCAAACAATTGGTCAAGTATTCCAAAGTTTAACCGAAAGAGCACCGTGCAGGGACCGCGGAGCAAGGTGAAAAGTGGGAGGGCTGACAATTGAAAAAAATTTTTTTCTAATAAACGACCAACAAACACTGTCAGTTCAGATTCAATGCAAGAAAAGACGCGATTAGAATTTTAGTATAGAAAATACTACACTGAAGTGATCTGAAAAAAATTTCTAACTATGGCCGTTCACTGTTCAAGTAATGTAATTCTTCTTGCCATCGAATATTTCATTGATTTGAAAGGAGAAAGACAAAATATAAAACTTTTATCAACTCAAAACAACTGCTCACCTTCGTTTGGCTTGAAAAAGCTAGTAATTTTCTTCATTTCATCTGATAAAACTTCTAAAAAACTCTGCCGGAGCTGGAAGTACAAAACACGCTGCCGAACGAAGCGAAGGGGTGGCCAAGGCATGGCGTTTGATCAAGGGGCAAGTCGGCCCCAGGGCACAATTACCGCGAAAAGCATAGGAAACTCACAAAATGCCTGGCGTTTGAAATTAAAGAAAATACAGAGAATATAGCGGAATATAGATGGAAAAAAGCTTGTTTCAAGTAGTTGTTTTATTTCAATTATTTTTCTTTTTAGCACAAAAAGTGGGGGCGGGGGCGCAAAAAAGTGGTGGGGCCGCAGCCCTACCAGCCCCTCCCCCTCCGCGGTCCCTGCCGTGTTGCATCATGCGTCTGAATTTTATGCCATGTGAAACCAACCATATCTGACATTATTATTTCAATCTAGTTGTTAGCAGTTATGTTTTTGTGTTTATGTTTTATTCAGCTGGCCTCCAGGCTCTTGCCAAAGCCAGTAGGCAATTGCTGGTTTTCAACCATGTGACAAGGCAGCCATGCTGGTGGACAAAACAATATAATTTTGTTTCGCATGATTTGCATGAAAAAAGAGTTCAGTTCCCAGTGGAGAGAAACACTTTTGTTTTTGTCCTCCAGCATGGCCGCTGTGACGTCAGCTGAAAACCAGCAATAGTATGGCCGTCACATCCCCTCTTAGTCTCCTTTGCAACCACTCATGCCAGAATCACGCAAAGATAACGATAGATTTTCTCAGTCAACTTTTTATCATAAGACTCCATGTACTGCACCACCTATGTGCTGGAAAGAAACAATGAAAGGAAAAACCTTTTGTTTTTAGCAAACCATCCAATATAACGTTTTACACTTTCATGAGCTTACGAGTCATGTTTAGCCTGTCAACACGTAACTAAATGACATGCTCATTGGTCAAGCAGACTAAATTGCAGGATAATTAGACTACGAGTAGTCCCCCATTTTTCCTCAGGGATAGTAGAGCGAGCGAAACGCGGCGGGGAGAGAGAAAAATTTTTCTCTCTCGCCGCCGCGTGTCGCCTTTTCTCGCGTGGGGTGATTTTCACGCGCGCTCGCGTTTCGCTCGCTCTACTATCCCTGAGGAAAAATGGGGGACTACTCGTAGTCTACAGGATAATGGGAAAGGAATATATGTCAGTTTGAATCAGCCACATGGGGGCAGGGAGCTTGCGTGACTCCCACCCTAATGGCCTTTTTTCACTTGTTTTATTTGATTAATGTGCTTACTTTAAAATTACTTTCTTATAGTGGTGGGAATCGGTTGAGATTTCACAATCGATCATCGGAAATAATCGGATTGCTCCAATCGATCGATCGTCGATTATAATCGGAAAAATCTACCAGTAAGCATTCCAAGATTACATTGCAGCAGTTCAAGTGAGACTGACACGAAATCAATGAAACACACGTGCCACAAACCTTTGTTGGCGTATTTCTTTCTGTAGAGCCTGCAGATTACCTTCGTCATATCCAAGTTTTCCTTTGTTCGGGCCCTTCCTTCAGTTGATAAAAATCAAAATATTCCTACACGTTTGACCTGGCGTTTCCAGGAAAACGACAGATCTCTAACTCGGCCATTTCAGCCACCATGTTAGACTCGTCAGCAACATGTAAGGGAGGCAGGTCTGAGAGAGGACCCTGGAAATCGCTGCGATGTTGTTTCTTAATACCTTTCATTCGCTAGCGATAGTAGTGACACTACAAACGCGAAACACTAAACTTGTAATTTATGTTTTGGTTCAGTTGTTTACGAAATACAAAGCAGCTTAGCATGCCACATCTTTCAAATAAGCGTGGCGTTTTTGAAGTGACAACAACACAGCGCGCAGGGTACGCAAAGGTAAACACCTTCAATGTTAGATTATATCTGCTGTTATGACTTAGAAGTTAGAAGTCCACGAAAAAGACAACTCACACCAAGATATTAAACGTACATTTTTATTGATTTTAATACTTTTATTTGTCACCAATAAATTTTTAATTTTTCCGCGACAATCGATTATGAAAAAAGCATAATCGATAGTCGCGTTGCTTGAACTTTTCGATCAACTTTCGATTATAATCGATCATCGGCCCACCACTACTTTCTTAACTAGTACATTTTACCTTCTTCTCTAGATCTAGGTCTCCTCACAAGTCTAAAGACGGCAAAAAGTCCAAGTAAGTTGTTCTATGTAGCCTTAAAATTCACGTTTAACAAAATGATTGATTACACATACTTTAATTTTACTTGTTGAGAACGTTTTCTACCTGAGTCAGGGCTTGAACAGAACCTTTTTTGCAGCTTGTCCTTTCGCAAGCAGCTCTCACATTTTGCTTGCCCTCGGTCACTTCTTACTTGTCTTAGTTAACCCTTTAAGCCCCAATATCCACACACAAATTCTCCATACTGATCGTTATATAATCCTTAAAGAATATGTAGAGAGAATTTGATAAAAGATCAGAGCATTTTTCTTGAGGTGATCATTATATTAAATCTCATAACCTATTCTTTTGATAATGTAATGATATTGTGACAAGAAAATTGATGTTGATCACTCTCGGGACTTAAAGGGGTGTTAGTCCGAATCACGGCAGACTCGAAGAATTTCAGCCAACTTTATTTTGAACGTCAAAAACGCACTACTTGCACAATGTAAATCTTGTATCAACTTGTAGATAACAATCGTACTCAAACGACAGCAAACGAAGACATTGGGCGCAGACCTCGTGGTCAGTTCATAGAAACTTGTATGTGGTTTTCTGGCAAATTACAGAGGTAAATATCACTCGAAGTTACCATAACAATTCTCAAATGTAGAAAAAAGGCTAACTTACCGAACTGTTCGGCTTCAAAATGCTAATACAGGTAGAATATACTCAAATACTATCCTCATTTACAAACAAAGGCTAACGACTCCAACAGTCCACATTCTCTCGCTAATAAACGGTCATTTCACGAAATAATCTTTCTTAGTCTTCCATCTCCAAATGACACAAGCTTGTGACAGGTCTTGTAAGCAAAACAGTGCTAGTTTTCACCTCTCCGCAACGCTGTCTCTTGGCATGGGTAGCTACCCGTGGAGGCGGTTTTCACTTTTGCCACTCGTACACAGCTGTCATCATCGGCAACTACCTCCCAAACACGTGCGATTGGCCATTCACCACGAGGGTAATTTTCATCTGCAAGTAGAACTAGATCTCCCACCTTGATATTCTCTTTACGTGATCTCCATTTCTGTCTTTCCATAAGAGTCGGTAAGTACTCGTTAGTCCATCTCCGCCAGAACACTCCACGTAAGTACTGAGCTTGTCTCCACACAGGCCTACAATGAAGATCCTCTTTGACGAACAGCCCTGGTGGCAAGCTTGGTGTCGGACGTAAATGTAGCAAATGGTTGGGGGTTAAAGGCCAATCATCTAGGTCACTGTCGCTGTTGCGTGTCAAGGGTCGACTGTTGACGATGTTGACAGCTTCTGCCATCACAGTAGCAAGTACTTCATCTGTTACGATCTGCTCTTTCAGTAACGACTTCAACACTCTCTTCGTAGTTTGGACCATTCTTTCCCAAACGCCTCCCATATGACTCGCGGCTGGCGGGTTATATTTCCACTTGATTTCCCTCTGCACGCAGAAATTACTGATCTTGTGATGATCCCATTGTTCAACAGCATTTCTTAACTCCCTGTCGGCTCTAGCGAAGTTGGTCCCATTGTCACTTGAGATTTCTTTGGGACAGCCTCGCACACTAATAAATCTTCTTATGGCGTTGATCGTAGAATCTGCACTCAGCGAGTGTAAGATTTCTATGTGAAGGGCGCGCATGGTTAGACAAGTGAATAAGCAACCGTACCTCTTGACATGTGACCGCCCCTGCTTAACTTCTAAGGGACCAAAACAATCAATGCCAATGTACATAAATGGTGGGTCGCCTGGTGTCACGTGTTCCTTTGGCAGTTCAACCATGAATTATTGCTCTGCTGGCTTAGCCTTTCTCCTCTGTCAATCAGAACATTTATTCAGCACACGACGAACTGCTGACCTCCGTTTAAGAATCCAATATTTCTTCCTCAAAGACGACAAAACTGACTCCTGGCCTAGGTGCCCCATTCTTTGATGATGGTCCCTGATTATTAAATCTGTGGCATGATGTTTGTAGGGTAATATCACCGGGTGTTTCAACTCGTATGGCAAGGGTGCCCTCCCGATACGGCCTCCTGCTTGCAACGGCCCATTCTCGATCCTTGGATTCAGCTTGCTCACTGAAGCGCCCGCTTTCTTCATTAACCCCTTCACCGACCTTTCACATGCTCCTGTGGTAAGCGCCTATTGGAGAATTTGTGCTTCCGGAAACTCCTTCTCTTGACTGTAGCGCAAGATTTCATCCTCTGCCTCTTGGAGCTCTTCTACCACAAGGCAACCTCTTCTCTCAACTAGTTCGTAATTAGATTGGGAACCTCCCGTGCGTTGTAGGGCCTTGTTCCTAAGGTACCGCTTGTAACGCAGCAACCACGAAATCGTTACTTTGAGTTTCCACCAAGTCGAATAGTACTTGATGACTCCTCCTATCACGTCGCGACTGACTGATGCTGTATAAACTTGTGTAAACTTGACTTTCTTTTCTGATTTCTGGATCGTCGTCCTTAACACAAGGGATATCAATCATTTTCGGCCACCGTGCCTCATCTTCCCATAGGAACTCAGGACCTATTAGCCACCTGTCGTTCTTGATTAAGGTGCCCAAGTTCAGTCCTTTGGACCCATCGTCTGCTGGATTTGCGTCCCGGTTCACATTCCACCACTCCTGGGGTGTAGAGCCGTCATGTATAATTATTGTTAAGCGGTTTGACTCAAACGTGTGAAATCTCTTGGTTTGGTTATGGATACACTTCAACACGGAGGTGGAATCTGTCCAGTAAATGCTCTTGTTGACTGCCAGGTCCAGCTCATTGCGGATTGCATGGCTGAGTTTCACGGAAATAACTGCGGCAGTTAACTCGAGTCTTGGTATGGAAATTTCCTTGATCGGAGCTAGCCGAGCCTTTCCTATAACAAATGAGCAATGTATCTTTCCAGTGATATCCTTCAGACGGAGGTAGGCAGTAGCTGAATATCCTTTGCGCGAGGCATCTGAGAACAAATGCAACTGGGTTTCTTGAACTTTCCCAAATCCTTCTGGCTTAAAACATCGATCGATCTTAACTTCTCTCAGTTTGTCGAGATCATCAATCCATCTCTCCCACTGCAGACATTCAGCATCTGTGACCGGTTCATCCCATCCAATTCCTTTCCGGTTCAAGGTTTGAAGTAGCAGTTTCGCCTTTATGATATATGGAGCAATAAACCCTAGTGAATCAAACAAGGAGTACACAACGGACACCATGCCTCGCTTTGTCAATGGCACTTTGGAAGTTGCACTCATGAGTTTGTCAGAAACCTCCTGGACAAATTTGTCATCTTCAATGTCCCACTTTAGCCCAAGGGCACTCTGTGTTGGAAGCTGATCCAACTCCAAGTTGACAACAGACTTGGCTCTCTCTGGCTGCGGAACAACAGCTAGAACTCTCCTGTCGTTACTGCACCACTTGGTCAAATGGAAACCACCTTTACTAAGCTGTTCTTTCACCTTGTGTACAAGCAAGGTCGCATCCGCTGTTGTTTCAGTTGACTTCATCAGGTCATCAACGTACATGTTCCTTTTGATAACATTTGCAACTTCTGAATTCCAACCTCCATCCATCTCAGCTGTTTTCTTTAGACAAAGGTTCACAACGCTCGGTGAAGATGTGGCCCCAAACAAATGTTTGACGATACGGTACTCTGTTAGCTCTGCTGACAAATCCCCTCCAGGCCACCACAAGAACCTCAACGCATCACAATCCCTGGGTTCCACTCTAACCTGATGGAACATAGATTGTATGTTGGCTACAAGACCCACAAACTCCTGACAAAAGCGAGTCAGCACCCCCACAATATTATTAGTTAAATCTGGACCCTGCAACAGTTGGCGCTTCAAAGACATGTGCGCGAACTGAGCAGCACAATCAAACACAACGCGAACCTTTTCGGGTTTTAAGGGATGCGTCACTGGATGGTGTGGCAAGTACCATACTGGCCGGTCCCCTGGTTGCAACTCATCGGTGGGCACTCTCTCCCCATGGCCTTCTTGAATATACTCATTCATGGTTGCGTTGTACTTGGAGAACAAATCTTTGTCTTTCAGTAGACGCTTCTTTAGAAGTGCAGCTCGCCGCTCAACCATCAGCCTGTTATTTGGCAGATAAGGGGGGTTTGTTCACCATGGAAGCCCTACTTGAAAGTGTCCATTCACTACTTTCAGTGACTGTTCCATCATTTCTAATGCTCTCTTATCCTTGATCGAAGGACTCACACTCGAACTCACAACAGAATCTGCAAAGTCAGTGCTCCAAAGCCTCTCAAGTTGCTCCTGCAAAATTTCGTCACGGATTTGACGCTTGGTGTCTTCTTCATCACAAAGGAATGTCCCGTCTACTACACCACTAACACTTGACCTTTCGATCACACCTTTGATGTTACGCAGTTCGGCACTCCCGTCTTTGTGCGACTGCTCCGCAGCAACGTAAAACTCTTTGTTTCCAAGGCGAACGAAGTTGACGGAACAACGCTCATCAACTCTTGTCCCACTCAGAGGACCCATAACTGTCCAACCCATGGAATATCACACTGCTACCGGCTCGCTATCTCCACCTGATCTGCCCTCTAATGGGATAAACAGTGTAGGCTTCTCTTTAACACCAATTATTAGACCAACATCTGACACTCTGGACTCCAACAGCTCGACGTCTCTCAAATGAGGCCAATTTGAAATGTCGTCCTTTCGTGGAATGCAAGTGGAGGACACGGGTATCTGCTCAACAGTCCTAACATTTGTCAGCTCTTCTGAGACTTTGTTATCCATGGACATCACAACAATGTCTATCACATGCCCTTCAACTTTCCTGGTCCCCATCACCCCTTGCAACTCATAATCATGTTTTAATCCCCACGATCCAAGCTCAAGAGAGAGTTGCTCCTTGCATAAGGTTACCTCACTACCACTGTCCAATAGGGCATAAGTCTCCACAACTCTTCCTCCTCTCTTCGCCCTGACTTTAACAGGAACGACCCCTAAGCAGACACGCCTTTCACCTGCCCCAGTTGCTACAGTAACAGAAGCTCTGCCACCACTTTGACCATCTTGATTGGTTCTGTGTGTTGCACTTGTATAAGCCATAGCTGCATTGGTCTGCTGACGATTTTCTTCCAAAGTGGGAGGGGTGGGGTGTAACAGAGTGTTATGATCCTCGACACAACCTTGTACTTGACACTTAAAGGTTTCCTTAGGACAATGGTCTTTGAAATGCCCACCACCAAGGCACTTGAAACACAGTCTCTTGTTCAGTACTGTTTTTACTCTGTCCCGGCTCGAAAGGTCTCTAAACTTCTCACACCTCCACAGCCCATGTTGTCCTGAACATACTGGACAGCTCCTGTTTGTACCAATTTCTTTTCTTGCACTGCTTTGTTCTTCGCTGTGATCGGGGTCGACATTGGTCGCTAAGGTGGTCATCCTTGTTAGAGTTCTTCCCCTTTTCTCTTCGCTTTCCGGACTCACAATCAGATCCCCAAATTCATTGTTTACAAGCTTTGCTCTGTGCTTCACAAACTTTAACAAATCAGAGAACTTTGGTCTTCCACCAGCTTCAATAACTTTGCCAGCGCACTCTGCCCACTTTCCTCTCAAAAAAAGGGAAGTTTTCTGCTCAACTCCATTAAGGTGTTTGAGTGGTTTAAGTCACCAACATAATCCGGACCCATACCCCTAAGGGTTCTATCTGCTATTTCAAGGTGTCTTGTAAACTCCAATAATGTTGACCCCGCACAATTCTTTAATGGTGGTAGGTTCTCTAACTTCTTCAGATGACCTTTAGCAATTATGTGAGGTAGACCAAAGTTCTCCTTCAAGGTTTCCTTTGCAGTTTTGTAACCCTCTGACACTGGCAAGTTAACACAACTTTCGATTGCCTCTCGTGCTACACCCGTGCAATGTTGAATAAGGCGTTGCAGATTTCTAGAATTGTTCGTGCTGTCTTCCAGACAGGTCTCGAAGTTGTGTATGAACGATGCATAGTTAATCGGATCTCCATTAAAGTGCATGTATTCTAACTTTGGGGTATTCATGACTTGGCTCAAAGTTTTAACTATTTGTTCCCTGGCATCAAACTCTGCTGGTGACTGCTTTACTGAGGCCTTAACTTCCTGGATTGAGGGCGACTGTTCATATTCGAGTTTCGTCCCCCAGCAACCTCTGTTAGGTGAGCTTGCCAGTGGGTTTAATGCAGCATCTCCCTGCAGAGATGATCCTGGTTGCTCATTTCCCCCAACAATTGGTAACTTTGATTCACAGCCTGGGGCAACTGGAAATGGAGAGGTAAGACCACGTGGAAATTCTTCAAGGTTAGGCTTAATATCTGAATGATACAAGACATCTTCCTTGCAATCTACATCCCCAAGGCCTCCAAATCAAACTGTTTTTTTTTTAAATTAAAGGAGGTGTCTCATGGTCAATCGCACCAGCCCCACTTTCAGAATCAAGAGTACTAAAACTGACATAGGCCTTCTCAGCTTCCATTTTGGCCTCCATTAATTCCCGTGGGTGATTAAGTTCAGTTAATCTGAGTTGAAGCTCTTGCCTTTTCTTTAAGTGTTGTCAAAATCATTTTTTCCCTTCGAGCATCAAACCCACTATAAACCGAGTTACAGCTGATTTCAGTACTCACGGTTTTCACGCTCTTTCTTTCACGTGACCTCATGCTTCCTTCAATGGACTTTGATCCACAGACGACGTGCATTTGTTTCACAATCTCGTCCAATTCCATTTTCTTTGCAAACTCTTCGTCGTACATGGTTTGGGCACCGTTCCTTTTAAACCCTGGCTCTGTTAATTCCATAAAACATTCATGGGTTTTCACAAACGTCCTCCATGTTTCTTCATACACCGCCAACTTTACTTCTAAATCCTCTGACCATATATCTCCTCTTTCGATTCGCAAATTAGCAATTTCCTCACGCATTTTCCTTAGCACCCGGATTAATCCAGCTTTGGATCTCTTCAATTGTTCAGCCCTCTCAGCTCGATCCTCTTCTTCATTTCTCCTTGTCGAATACGTTCGTATTCGAGTTCCCTTTCGGGTGGCAGGACGTGAACTAGTAGACATGTTTCACACAGAATCGACCAAACGAAGCTCTAGTTCGAAAACTGTTAGTTCGAATCACAGCAGACTCGAAGAATTTCAGCCAACTTTATTTTGAACATCGAAAACGCACTACTTGCACAATGTAAATCTTGTATCAACTTGTAGATAACAATCGTACTCAAACGACAGCAAACGAAGACATTGGGCGCAGACCTCGTGGTCAGTTCGTAGAAACTTGTATGTGGTTTTCTGGCAAATTACAGAGGTAAATATCACTCGAAGTTACCATAACAATTCTCAAATGTAGAAAAAAGGCTAACTTACCGAACTGTTCGGCTTCAAAATGCTAATACAGGTAGAATATTCTCAAATACCATCCTCACTCACGATAACAAACTCGACCAAGGCAAAAATGTTTTTGAGTCACGTGACGATAAACAAACAAATTACTCCTAAGGGGAGTCAGGAGCGACAAGGGGTAATGATTTTGTTAGAGGTTGACTTGCCTGGACCCCGGCAAGTAAGCTTTACATGTAAATTTACTTGCCCAGCAAGAAAATCCACTTGTCCAGGACTACTGCCCAGATGTATGACATATGTGATACATTGTTCAAGAAACAGTGAAAGAAATTTAAAGTTGCCCAGAATTAAACAATCATACAGACAGTGCTCATTTATGTTCAGTGATGTAAGCTTGTAGAACAGACTTCCTGAGTAGTTGAAAGACTGCTCTACCTTGATGTCTTTCGAAAACAAACTTAATCAAGTTGAAGTGTGTAAATTGTAATGGCCAATGTTTAGCAATTCCTTAGTTAGTTTATCTTTAAATTCTTGCCTAGGAATCATTGTTTTTTTGATTGCTTTTGTGGTTTTTTTTTAGCCAAGTGTAGATTATCGAGAGATGTTAACTGCTACCCTCAATAAAAAAGTTTTATTATTATTATTATTATTATTGTTATTATTGTTCGTTTGACCGCAAATTATCTTAACAGAACAGATGAAAATAAGAAAGAGGAGCAGGAGCAGGAACAAGAAAAGCCCAAAAAAGTGGAGGTTAGTTTAATTCCACCTTTAGCTTAGCAAATGAGCTGTTAAACTCATCACCAATAGATGAGCTTGGGCGTTGGTGCCTACAAAGTTGGTGGAGCCGGGCAATGCTCTAGCATGAGGAGGAGGTATCCATGGCAACCCTGCAAGCGGCCCCCACCAGGCACCGTCACACTGAACAATTCAGTGGAATACTTACCGACCCAATACTTACCTAGCCCATACCTTAAGAGGAGGGAGGCATGGGAGAAACTAAAGCACAAACTGGCAGGCAAACAGCAAGCTATTGCAACAACACTTTGCGAAGAACTGCAAGCAAGCAACTGCGTATATAAGTCACGAGGTGCCCCTGCTAGAGGCATCGGGCCACCCCTACTATAGCTGGGGAAACAGCTGACCAGCATTGCTTTGAGGTTAACTTTGCCTAAATTACATTTAGCCACATAAAATTTACTCATGAACAATGCACCAAATAGAAAAATGTTTTTCCATACCTAGAGGATTTTTTATTCTTGCAACTCTCTCAATCACCAAGGACTGGCTGCAAATGTCCTTCTTAGAGAGTTGACTGTATTACATGTACTACAGAGAACAACCCTCTGGGCCCCAATATTGACGTATAGATTCTTCAGAATAATCTCCCATTTCCTTAAAAGAGAGTTGAGTGAATTTATATCAAAGTACAGTAAAAACCCACATATAAGAACCTAAAATGCTGAAATTTAGCATTTTAATACTCAAGTTTATAAGAACCTGTTCAGCCTGGCAAGGACAAGAGCTTCTTATTCAAAAGATCACCTCAATTTCAATTATCAAAATTCTGGACATTAATAATTGTAGTATTATTGTACATGTAAGTGAAACCTCTAACAAAATGTTATTGTGTTATTGTGTTATTGTGTATATGCTTTCTTTAATATTATTTCAATTAACATGATGTGCACAATATAAAATTAAATAGTCCAAAATGTTTTGTTCAGCATGTTATTGTTTAGTCAGCAAGCATTCTGACTGTTATTATTTAGCTTGGCAAGCATATGCTTGTTATTTAAACTAATTCTAAACCATGTTAATGACAATGGTACGACAAACTCTGAAAAATTAGGAACCTATTAAGAACCTAATCAGCCTGATTTGTCAAAAAGTACCTGGAAATTTAAGAACCTGTTCAGCCTGATCGTGAAAATTCTAGGTTCTTATATGCAGGTTTTTACTGTATTTTCCTTTTGGGGATCACTTTATTTATTCTTATAGCCATTTCTCTTTATGATGTATGGAAATGAATAGATGTTGGTCAATCTTGTGACCAAGGGTTAAGCGAGGTGAAATGACTGCAAAGAAAGGGAAATGGAGTACCTCTTATTGTTCATCTTAGGAAGGTGTCTGCCTTATAGAGGTGCTCATTAAGAGAGAGTTGATGTAAAAAGTATATGCTAGCTTTGTTTCAAGGTGGTACTTACATGGACACTGAATGCACTATTATTATGCGAAACTGTTGACGTTTACAATCAAAAAACCTAAACTGCATGTACAACATAGTGAGAGATCAGAGGTACAGGTATACGTGTAGTTGTGGTTTAGAAACCCAGAATTCTAAAAAATGTTGCAAGTGTAAGAAGTCTAAGCTAGAGTACATTTGTATATTATTTTCACAGCCACTTTCACTGGAAGAAATGATAGCAAGAAGAGAGGCAGAAAAGAAAGCTCAAGAAAAGGTGTGTTACTGTATATAGAACTGAAATATAACTAGTAATAACCAAAGGTTATGGAACGTGAGCAACAAAGATTGAAGGTTAAAACGCTTTTGCTGTGCTGTGCTTTGTGTAAGTTTCATGTGACAGATGTTCAAAACATGCATGATCAAATTATGAGTGATCGAAGGTCCAAACACCTGTGATCAAATTGCATTATGTGTATTCCATTCATTCTTAGTGGAAGTCCAAACGAAAGCTGACTACATACATGCAACCCATGTGTAATAACAACTTGGAGATTAGGATTGTGGGCTCCTCTTGTTGCCCACTATGATAATGAACATTGGAACGCTGTCTCTGTGACCTCTAAGGGACCATGACATTGAGGTCATAATAATGAGCTGGACCTTTTATCAACTGAAGGTTTTATAATAAAGTTCAGGGCCGAGTTGTTCATAGCTGGGTTAAGATAACCCAGGGTAAGTGCGAGATTTTAATTCAGATTTGAAAGCTTAAAAAGCGTTTCTATTCTAATTTTTTTGTCTGCAAGATGATAATGGGAAGCTCTAAAAATAACAGAGAAAATTGTCCCAGAAAATGCTTTAGAACACAAGAAAAAGAAAACCAGGTTAAGTTTAACCCAGGGTTAGCGCTAATCAGCATTCGAACAACTGGGCCCAGATATAATGTGCACTGGTTGGAACATGACTGTGGGCAGACTTAATCATGAGGCTCAATGATCTGACATTAATTTTGTTGACACAACCTTTTACTTCACCAGGGTAATAAATAAAGGCCAAGTGAAAACTCAATATTGATTTTGCTGTTGTGTCATTTTGTTTTGTTTGCTTGTTTGTTTTTAGAATAAAATAATATTTTTTGTTGTCTTTAGCCAACTTTTTTAACAAAGGAACAGAGAGCAATGGAAGCATTGAAAAGACGGCAACAGCAAGTTGAGGAACAGAAAAAAAAGACTGAGGTAAGAGAGGCATGTTTTGTCCCTTTTTGTGACTTCCTTACATGTGATTTATTTTACACCAGACTTTGGTTGTTTATAGAGATGGTTGCTCATTCAATGGATAGAGAGTGAGGTTAAGAATTACATTCACGATAAAGGGTGAATCCAATTTTATTTGTATGTGTACCTTGTGCCAAAGTCTTGTCTTTACTAGAAAACTTACTGTTTATCATATGTACTTAAATATGAGAAATTTCATGCCAGTTCCATCCCTAAGAATACAACTGTTTTGGACAGTTTCCTTCAGCTCATTTCTTAATTTGAGCAGAAAAATTAAAAATTCCATACCATCTACATTGTACATGTACATTGTACTCTCAGATGGTTCCTTTTGAGCTTTGCCTAAATGGCAAGCTGGGAGGCAAATAAAATAAGTATTAATTTTTTTATAAGTTATAACTATGTTGTTCACCCTCCATTTGACCAATCAGAACAAAAAATAGTACAGTGGAACCCCACCTTACAGCCACCTCGGTAATATGGTCACCTCATTATTACGGCCACTTTTTTTGGCCGCCCGCCAAAAATAACCATACCTTTTCTTGTAAAGAAATCCTCATTAATAAGGTCACCTTGTTATTACAGCCAATTTTTTTTGGCCCATTGGTAACCGTATTAATTGGGTTCCACCGTACCAACTGGTTTGGATAACTTTAGAAAACTGAAAAATGGCTGGTCTTAATTTTTTCCCTTTTTGGGGCTTTTCATTTCAAAACAAACAGGAGGAGCGTCAAATGAGGGAGAAGTTTTTACGAGAGGCACAATATTCAAGAGGTAAGTATTGGAAAAATGTTTTTAAATAAGAGAATCCTATTCATTTCATACTGTAACACAGAAAAGTACACATTATTATTAATGAAAACAAAGACAAAAAGAAAAATAGATTGTTTTTACATAATTACATATACAACAGATAAAACTGACAGTTACATGAAATAACTGCCGTTTAATTTAGGCCTGACTTTGCTTAACTTACATAGTTTCTCGAGGAAAGGAAAAGAGGAATGGGTGGATGGTTTTACTTTAAGGGGGATGTATAGTTAACAAAGCCATTAGCGAGTTAATAGGGTAACAGGTGCAAGCCAACAAATTTAAATAAGGAAAAGTTTCCATTTGTTTGAAATGTGGCTAAATAGAATTTAGGCTAAGTTAAACAACAACAACAAAACAACAAACAACAACAACAAATTTTATTGAAAATTGGAAAATAACTAATTACATTACTTTCCCACCTTCAAATAGCTTATGAACTAATCAAGGCGGGGGGAGCTGAAGACATAATTTACAAAACAAGATTTATATATAGATGGACTAAATAACAGTGAAGACACTACTATACAGTAAATAGAATTTAAACTAATATAAAACAAAGCAAGTACATAACGATTACGAAGAGAGGCTAACCTAAAGTATTCAATAACTTAATAAGACGGGAGACTTCGACATAATCATCTTCTGACCGCAAGAAATTTGGTAATAATTCCTTTATTTTTTTACAAAAGGACGAACAGTTAAGTATTTTAATCGACTAAGGAATAGAGTTCCAAATTTGGGCACTGCTTCTTGTGAAAAAGGCATACATTTTATCGGTTCTAGGGAACTTAACATAAAACGACTCGCTAGAGACAGATCTTAAACACAAAACAATGCAGGGGCTTCACATGTTTTACAGCTTGGCTTCAGATGTCAAGTCATTTTGCATTCATGTCTTGCTATTGGGCAGTTTTTCGCTAGTTTTTTACCCCCAGCCCTCCCAACCCCTCTTGGCTTGGAAAGTATTTGGTAAATATCTTAGTTTCCACTGTTATTCAGTGTGACAGTGCCTGGTGGTTGCTGCTAAAAGGGTTGTCATAGATACCTTACGCATTCGGCTCAGTGTGATTTGAGGCTCCACCTTCCTTTTAGGAACCATTCCCCAAGCTCATCTATTGTTGATGGGTTTAAAACGTGGTCGAAGAATTACAGCAATGTGCTACTTGTCATTCTATCTCAATGATGGAATTTAACTTACCCTTAAAGAGGGACATTCATGAAGACCCTCCTGGACGATGGCTTTAGAGGTTGCAACTTTAGATAGTTTACTGCTCTCATCACTAACATAATCATCCTCACTTCTTAGTACAGTTTGCTGTATTATTATTTTGCATAATTATTTCGATAAACTTTAAAATATGTTTTTTTTCTTCATTTTCTAAAGAGGACGAAGTGGAAAGGGAAAGAAGAGAAAGGCGAGAAAGAAGAGAAAAGAACCAAACTGAAGAAGAGGTAGCGTCTTTGCCTGTTAAGGGCAAGGGTGGATCATGAATTTTTTTTTCTTTAGTGGTCCAAACTCGACCTCATCATCAAAACTGTTTTACAGCTAATTATTTCAACCCTTCTTGATAGTCATTTTCTAGGAAACTTCAACTACTTAGATCCTTAAATTTGATCCTTTATTGGTAATAATAAATTATTTTTAGTTTAAAAGCTATTAGTTATTCAATTACATTTTTTCTGGTCTGATGGGTGAATTTAAGGGGGTTTTGGATCCCATGATCTTATCCTGGTTCAGTCACTACAAGGGTCTAGTTAATGAACATTAATTGGGAGGAAGAACATGTGATATTAATTTACTCATTAGTGCAAAGTTAATGGTGAGTGATTATTTGCAAAAGTGAAGAATGATTCTTACAGTGTACTTATTTATTTACTTTGTTTGAAAACTCTTTTTTTTTTAGGCTGAGAGTGAAAAAGAAAGACTGCGAAAGGTACTAGGATTATTATAGATAATTCACCAAAAACTCAGCAGTGGTTATGTAACATTATAAATTACAGCTATTGCAAAAGGTTTTACAGATGAGTGTATTTACACAAGAATATAAAGCAAGCCCCAATGAAACAAGTACAAATGGTGGCTTAGATTAACATTTTGGCCTGCAAATAAAGAAAAAATAATAATCTTATTTAACATAGCACATACATTTAAGAATCCCGATGGAGTCATGCCAGTTGACTATCTTCAAGCAGGCATGGCTGAGGAGTTGAACTTGTCCCTACTGTGAACAACCCTTGCTAGTGGCAAGGGCATGATTTTAACCCAAGCTTGAATTCAGCACCCCACACAACTTGGTCATTCTGACTCTGTCAAGTCTTAAACATTTGTATCTAAGGGTTTAGGTGATGTTAATTAAATTTGTAGTAAACATGCACAGTGTAGTTTTCTTTGCTCTTGTAGGAGAAAGAGCAAGATAAAGAGGTGCAAGCTATCAAGGTAATGTATCATCATCTAAATGAGATTTGTGTATGAACGAGACAGTGTTTATACATGTATGCCAGTAATAAAATTGTCAAAAGAAGGTAAAATCTTTATCTAGTATACAAGTAAAAAAAGAACAGTCTGCTGCAGTTATTCAGATGGTATGGAATGGAAGAGTGTCAGTACATGATTTCTATGAAACAACTAGGATTTTCTATGAGAAAGATAATTTTTCCTTCAGTGACACAGGTGACTCAGAAGGAAAAAATCCCAGTTTTCCAAAAGGCTGATTTACACAGTATGATTTTTCCTTGCACGGCTAGCATGCGTCTGACTTCATGACAGATCATGTCATGTAAATTAGACCCACTACATTCACATGACACATTGTGGATGTCATAAGTGAAAATTGTGCGTGTGTGGATGGTCAAAAGACATATGCTGGTCGTGCACAATAGTCGTGAGCAAAAATTGTACTGTCTAAATCAGCCTAATAGGAGTTGAACCTACGACCTTGTGGTTACTAGTCCAGAGGCTCTACCACTGAGCTACAGGATACTTGTTGAAGATTCATGAATCCAGGAGCAAATGTTAGGCACCAGGGGTCAAGCTGGCATTGCCAGAGCACAGCCTTGGTTTTCAAGATAATGTTGGAAGGCAAAAGGTCTTGTAAGTTCATACAAATGTCTACTTAGAGAAACTTGGAAACCACCCACCTACCCCTCCCCTAGCCCAAAATTTTGCCCCAAGGGAAAAATAGTAGTGTCATTGTTGGTTTAGTGGGGGAGTGGTGGGGAGGTGGGCAAATCTTAGAATTTTATGCTGATCTAAAAGGTACATGGGCCAGTTTTTTGTCCAATTTTTTTACTAATGGGAATTTTATGGCTATTTGTCTCCACAAAATCACTGTTTTCTTCACTGCTTGATCCTGATGTGATTTATCAGAGATTTTCTGTGCAAGTGTTACTAAGAATCTACCTTGGCAGAAATCATGCCTAAAATTGCACAAAATGTCACCTGTGTAAATGGGCCTCTAACAATGTTTATCTGTCCTGCTTCATTCCAGGACAGATACCTAGGTGGAGCCAAAAAAAGAAAGAAGGTTCGTCGTCTTGCTGACAGAAAGTTTGTGTTTGACTGGGACACAGGGGAAGACACTGCAGTCGACTACAATCCACTGTAAGTAATCACATGACTGTACCAAGCTTTTTGGTGCAATCACCATTGACACGTTTAGTTGAAACAAGCTTTTTTATTTATTTTTTTGGCGCAGTAGTGGTTATTTATTTTAATTAGTATTATTGAGACACACATAACAAATTGGTTTTACGCTGTTTCTTAAAAATACAAATGATTGTAAATTATTGAATGTAGATTTACCATAGTTGACTTGACTGTATTGCTGTATAGTACCAATAATTATCACAACTGCTCGTGATTCAAGTGCTTCAAAACAACACAGGCTCTTGTCACAGTCCAGAGGTACTTACGTAAGGGTATTGCTCATAAAATTTTGACTGTTTTAATAATACAACTCTTGTTTGGACTAAGAATTCAATGTTGCCAGGTATATACAATTAGGAGGTCAGGAACTGGACTGGACTACGAGTAGTCCCAGTTTTTTCTCGGGGATAGACTACTGGTAGTCTAGAACTGGACAGGTAGCAAGTTCTTTTCCTTCTATATTTTTACAAATCAAATAGACCATAGAAATGACATCAAAATGTTCATAACTCATGTGAACCACGAGCTGCAGGCCTTTGAAAGTAGCATAACCTGAGATCAGGATCCAGGGAGTCATACTGTTAGTTGCGGGGTGGGGGGGGGGATTTCAAGCCCCTGGGTGTCACTGACAGGTTATTAAAACAGATTTCCCATCTAAACATAGGTTGTTGTTAGGTCTAACAGCATCGCGAAGACTTACAGAACATATCCGTCTACTTATAATAATGAAATAGACACCTTACAAACAGATTTGGAGGCTTCTTGAGTCTCTAAAAAAGTAAAAATAAACAAGACTTTGTTCAAATAACCAGCCTAGGGAGTTAAGTGCTGATATGCTTCTTGATCAAGAAACTTACATTCAGTCTGTGCAACTCTCCTTTTTACTTACAAGTACTTGTCTCGCTTAGCTATACAGAAAAGCATCAAATTCAGCTCTTTGGAAGAGGACATATTGGTGGAATTGATATCAAGGTAAACATTCAAAAACAGCTGGGGTATCTAACCACAGTCGAAATCACGGAATTAGATTGTTCAGAGAGGTGTTCAAAGTTATGGATGAATAAGCAGGCAACAGTTGCAGGGGCGGATCAAGGATTTTTCTTAGGAGCGGTTGCATCACTAAGGAATGGCATAACTGACTGGTGACGTAAACAAATTTTAAAAGCGAATACCAAGAAGAAGGCTTTTGCAGGCTTCTGACTAGGCAATAACATAATGTGAACTGCTGAGAATACATATCAAACGATACAGCAGAATTCAGACAAACTACCATTTTTAGGGCGTTTAACATAAATTCTCCAACCTCATCTCGTGGTTTACTTCAGCACCAATAAACCACCAATTTTTTTTTTGGCAAAATACCAGTTGAATTAGAAAGCCGCAGGTCATCTTAAGGGGGGAGGGGGTGCGCGAACCCCTCCACCCTCCCCCTAGATCCGCCCCTGAGGTGTACATGTACACACTTCTTCATTGTCATTATCAGCATCCTTCGGCCTGAGCCGAGACTCCTCAAACTACTCCTTTCTACATCGATATTTTTTATATCAGCCATCACAATAGAGACCTCCAACCCCGGAAGGCGTCATTGTACTGTTTTCACCATAAAAGTTAGCACAGTTATTTTTATTGAAGAAGGTTCTAAAGTTCTCTCATGAGCGTCTTGATACTTACTTGTTTCCGTTCCCGCTAAAACTCGTGGTAGAATGACGACAGCTATCGTGTTTTCCCGCCAAACTAACGCTGGCCCACGCGCGAGCTTGAATTTTCTAGTGATTTATTTTTTCTTTGGCCTTAATATTAGGATTAAAGTGGTTAACCCCTCTACAACAGCCACTCCGGCCCTTAGCTGGCTGTCCTTGCAAGGCTCGGCTGTGCATTAGAATGTCAGTATGTAGTGAGGTTACAGGTTTTAAAGTAAAAATCCTTGGAAAATAAATTTTTTTTCTTCCCAGTGGCAAAAGAAGGAGACAGGAAAGTTTTATCAGGAAATGTTGGAGACAAGACGAACTGTTGAGGAAAAGACCCAAGAGGCGTAAGTATCTTATCTTGTCAATAATTAACAAAAAAACTACTAACACTGACGCGAATTGCATTTGAAATTAGTTCAATCCTAGAAGAGATAAAAATTGTCCCGAACGGGACAAATTATGTCTTATGTCCGCATTGCACTGTGATTAGTGTACGTTTCCCGTGCATTGTTGGAAAGCCTGGTTCCAGTGTACATGTATGTCAATCGAGGTTTCCATCGTTAGAAAACTTTGAGTCTGGAAAAAGAAAGTATTGTATTGTCTTAGAAAAAGTCCGGGAAAAGCCTCGAATTTTCCGCCATCCAAAACTCTGTTCGAACCATGCTCCAGTTGTGGATGCTATTTCTGTTTCTCAAGGCTATCCGCTCAAGAGAGCGTCTTACGGCAAACGGTAAATGTCAGATGGAATTGGAATGAGAAGATAGAAACGGTCCAAAATCCTTCTTACTGATGAACCTCAGTGGCATAAAACTGGTAATATTAGAGAGCTGTAGATTTGAGGACGAGTGCAAATGTGAGATTTAACTTATAGGTTTTTTCGCGTGTTCTCAAACAAAAAAAGACAGCCCCGAAAGCTTTATTTTACTTTTTTTTTACCAAAAGGTTTAGTACAGTTATTTATACTGAAGGAAGTTAAGCCCTCTCCCGATAGCAAAATGCTAAAACTTTCTTACATTTGATAACTTGTTCCCGCCACTACGACTTCCTCGCTAAAACTCGTTGTTGTATGTCGACGGCTATCACGTTTTCCCGCCAAAATGACGCTGGTTCACGCTTGAGCAATACTCAGTATTGAGAAAATCTTGTACTCGTAGTCGTCCTCGTCAAAGAATCTAAGGGTGCGTTTCTTTACTAAAATCCAAATCGGGATTTTTAATCCGATCTCGGATTTTAGTGAAGAAACGCACCCTGAAGCTCTACATTTAAGTAGATATAAAAAACAATAAACGACAAGGAAAGGGGAAACTTGGTCACGTGGTACAAATTTCCGTTTGCCGTTTGCCGTAAACGTGACTCGTGGTTCCTTCTTTTTTAGGACGCGAATAAAGAAGCAGCGTGATCAGGAAAGACAGCGTGCGTTCGATGATCGTCACTGGAGCAAAAAATCCTTGGAGGAAATGGTGGAAAGAGATTGGCGGATCTTGCGAGAAGATTTTGCCATCTCTACAAAAGGCAAGAGATTCTAGGACAGGCTGTTGAAATCTTGTCGTTTTTGGTCCTGGGCTTGGTTTATCTGTGCTTTTTTTTCTTTTTGTCTGTGGATTACTCTGTGTACTGTTAAATACTAACATAGTTGCAGTCTTAATCGTCGTTTCCGTCGCAACTGAAGAAAAATAACAACTGAAGTGTTATTGCACAAGGAATGAGCTGATTATCACTAAATACTCTTAGCTGCAAGGAATTTTTTTCAGAAAATGAGAACCAATTTAAGAACCAAAATAGCGTAAATTTGTTCTTATTACCATTTATGTAAGAACTTGTTAAGGCTAACTAGGGAAAATACAGGTTCTTACTCACGGGTCATTACTGTATTTTCTCCCTCCTCATTGCAGGTGGCAAGATTCCATTTCCCCTGCTCTCGTGGAGGGAAAGCACCCTTCCGACTTCAATATTGGATATTGTAGACAAACTGCAATATGAGGTAAGCCAGCCGTATCGTTTCGGTACGAACTCAAGCAGTGAAATTGCACAGAGATGTCGATCACTTCAAGTATTTTTATTTTTTAAAGTTTGCAATTGAACAAGAAAAACATTTTGGGTGAATGTTCTTCGTTCTTTAAGTTAAGTACGTGAAACTATTTACACCTCGAAGGAACTAACTTGTATCGAAACGACCGGTAACCCTTTAGTTTAGTCACTTCCCCCCCCCCTTTAAATGCCACAACCAGAATGGCGCTTGTTTAATTTTCACACTCAAGTTAAACTGTTTCTTTACATCAATATTCATAGTTTGTAAGGTCTGGAAGACGGAGGCAATGTTATTATTCCTTGCTCACGTGGTATGAGGGTTAGACTGTCAGAGTATACATTGAAAAAAAATCTCGAAGCATCATCGGCTATGCTTTTCTTAATCTAGTCGCTTATTTAACCACAGCAGGGCTACCTCAGTTGGTAGATCAGCAATGGTCTAGATTAGAAGGTTGCAAAAGAACTGAGACAGAAGGTTCTGCTCCTGGCAAACGGGTAGACCTTCGCGCGTCTTGGATGACCACTTTGAATACAACTGACTTTTAAATGAAGTCGATTTTTTTTATCTGTTTATTTACTGAGAGGTTTCATCTACTTTAAATGAAAAAAGTGATGTTATCTGTGGGCAGAGTTTACGCTCAGAATTATATGATTTTCCCATGTGAAGAAGCTCTTTCAACTCGTACAAATGTTTCATTCGTCCAAACCGAAAGTAACACTTTAGAACAACTGGTAGATTATCTATCCTGTGTGTTCATAGGAACCAACACCAATTCAGCGCCAAGCCATTCCTATTGGACTTCAGAACAGGGACATCATAGGAGTAGCTGAAACAGGTAAACTGAAAGCCCAGTAGGGTTAACTATTGGGAAAATTTTAACTATAGAAATTGTATTGCAATAGGTCACACGGATATTGAGAATAGGCGGATAACATTTTTTTTTTCAATAAAAAGGTAGTGGTAAAACAGCAGCATTTCTGATTCCTTTATTGGTGTGGATTATGGGGCTGCCAAAGATTGAACGTGACGCAGATGCTGATAAGGGACCTTATGCTGTAATCTTAGCTCCGACCAGGGAACTGGCACAACAGGTTAGTTGGTCAATTTGCCCTTAGGCGAGTTGGCATGAGGGCCTCATGTCAACTCACCAGGGAACTGGCACAACAGGTTAGTTGGTCAATTTGCCCTTAGGCGAGTTGGCGTGAGGGCCTCATGTCAACTCACCAGGGAACTGGCACAACAGGTTAGTTGGTCAATTCGCCCTGAGGCGAGTTGGTATAAGGGCGTCATGTCAACTCGCCCCAACCGTTTCGCCCAAACAGATGAGGCTCGCGTGCAAAGAATTCACGCTTCCGTTGCGTTGTGCCTTAAGAGCAGCGGTTATTTTCTTAGCAAAAAAGCCGAGTTTTTGTGGTCTACCTACATTCATGGGATTAGTACATACGTACATACATACTTTCTTGTTTCCTTCCCAAAGGGGCTTTTCAGCAACAATCATTATTTGCAATCATTACAGTTAATTACAACACTTACATTTTTACTGATTACAGTGCTTAACTTGTTACTAATTGCAATACTTAACTTATCTAAGAAGCATTTACAAAATTATCTAAAAGCTTGTTCGTTAAGACAGTAGTACACCTTCTCGTCAGCAGTAAACTAAACTATTAGTTCGACTAACTCACCAGGATTCGTGTCGTAGGTTAAAAATAAGTACTTTTATTGTTACAAAGGTATACCGCGTTAAATCCGAGCCAACGGTGCGTTTGTTTTTCTAATCTTTCCAGATCGAAGATGAAGCTGCAAAATTTGGTCGTCCTCTTGGTGTCAGGACAGTGTCTGTGATTGGTGGGGTAAGAAATCTACGCATAAGTCTGACAATGTCGTTATCAGTGGTGTCGTAGCTACCCTGGGTGCAATGTTGGAACAATGTTGGAACAATTCGCAACAATGTTGCAACGCTGTGTTGTGCTAAAATCGTCCCGTGAACATCACCTTAAATCATGTTCGCACATCGAATCCGCCTTAGCGAGGTACAACGTGGTTCATCTTACTTATTGTTAGAGCGGACATCTGTGGCCAGGACATGTCGTAGCTCGTGCGGTAGGAGTTCCCGTCCCGGTCGCGAGAATAATGGAACAGGACAAAGGTTTCCAACCGTGCGTTTATTCCTTCTCCAACTTCCCTCCGAGCTTAGAATTGCTTTCCTATAATTCGTAGAGACAGTTGTTGCTGGGTTTCCAAAATGAAGTCTTTCCCTGAGAAATGCGTGAAACAGAATTTCATGGTTGCTGAGCCCGGAGGTAGTCGCTTATCAGAGAGTCTAAATAGAGCGTTTGTGTCAAATGGGATTTTGAAATCGACAAGAGAGATAAGCACTCAGCCATAAAAGAATAAATAAAAAGTCAATTAACACCTACCCTTTATGCATTTTATCTCCAGCTTTCTCGCGAGGACCAAGGATTTCAGCTAAGGCTTGGTTGCGAGGTAAGCTAATCTCTAGTGCCTCTACTAGCCTTCGTGGCCAGACCGAGAGAGGGAGGAGGAACTTCCCTCCTCCCTCGCACGCTCCTTGCGGTATCGTGCGCCCGAATTCCCTCTCCCCTCTTCATCCTCCCCCCTCCCGATCGAACACCTGCGTCGTAAGCCACACTACAACGCACTCTCCCGACAAAGAGGGTGAAGAAAAATTCATTCACCACTTGAGAAATGGAAAGGGAACTGGGGCCCATTTCTCGAAAAGTCTCGGTATTACACTTTTCGGGCCTGAAATCAAATATTTAAATCGAAAGATAAGGAATAAGAGCGCGGGTCCTGGCCAGCAAACTACTCCATTTTGTTTCACTAACTGATAGTTAAAACGGGAGACAGCTTACCGGGCCCGTTTATAATCGGGATTGTCGAGAAACGGGCCCCTGGAGCCGAAATGCGTGCCGCAATTGTTTCTGGGATGGTTACTAGGGAAGCGCCAGTGAGCTATTGGCCAATTTTTTTCCATGTCCCTAGTAACAGTCCCAGTCCCAGTCCCTTTGCAGAAGTTAACTCAGCCCAGATTCCCTCTCCTTGTTAAAGTGGCGAGTTGTAGAGAAGTGTTTGTTCCCTTTTATATTAACATGTATCACTGAGTACTTACTCCATTATAATTTTTTTTTTCAGATTGTCATCGCTACACCTGGTCGTCTGATTGATGTACTCGGTAAATATTTTCTGCATATTTCTCATGAGCGAATCCTCGCGCGCTGATTGGTCGAGAGCTATGGTTTATGAGAGTATAGACCACTGAAATGACGTAACATGTCACGCAGTGCCGGTTGTTTTGTTTGTGGTTTTTAGGAAAAAAATAAATGTTATTGTAAAAAACAAATCGCCATAAAATGTTCAAACCTCTGCGGTGAAACCACTCGCCTGCGGCTCGTGGTTTCACTTGAGTTTTGAACGTTTTATGACTTCATTTCTGTGGTCTATAAGAGTGTAGACCACGAGAAATTGTGGTCGATTTGTTAAGTATCACGAGAAGATCCGAAAACTACAGTCACAGGTTTTTTTTAGCTTTTTTTCGAAACAAGACTGTAATGTTAAAAAAATACGCCATCCTCTTATTTTTATGTTTGAGTCTAGTTTTACCCTAACCTTCCTTAGCCAAGTATAGTTGTCTTTTCAAAAGGTTGAGTTTGATCGTCCGGGTGAACGTAGTCCTGAATAGGACTGTTGTTGTTGACAGTGACTGACGTTTCGACAACCTGTGCGGCAGTCATCTTCAGAGCCAAAGTGAGTTTTATCACGTCAGTTGATGGTATTATACTCTGGTTATTGATCTGATTGGTCAATTATGTCGCGATGTTATTGGTCGTCTGTCAGTTAAGCCGTGATGTTATTGGTGATTGGTGCGTTTTGATCCGTCTATTGTCACAGTTAAACAGTCGTCTATTGTTAGTCAAATTGTCAGTTCTCCAGTTGTTCTCTCGTAGTTAGTTTTAATTGATCTCGTCAATAAGTCGTTTGTACGGCGCTGGTAACTGTTGGCTACGATTCAGTGGCGTTTGTTCTAAAGTAAGACGTTGATAGTAGTCTGTAGAATACGTTATACATGTCGCAGAGTCCCAGTCAATTTGATGTTTCGTCTTTAAATGATGCTCAGCAATGTGATTGTTGACGTCACCATTCCTCGTCGCGCGTTTGTGTTCGGTCAGTCGCGTGCTTAGGTTTCTGCCGGTTTCACCAATGTAAGAAGCCTGGCAGTCGCTGCATTTGATCTTGTATACTGCTCCCTGTCTGTCCTCCGGTTTGTCTTTGTCCTTAGCATTAGTAAGCAGTCGCCGTAAATTGGTTATCGGTTTGTGCGCAACACTTATATTGTAAGGTTGTAATATTCGTGCAATAGTTTCAGAGGTGCCTCTGATGTACGGTATAGTCGCTGTCGTAACAGGGCCAGAGTTGGTCTGAGAGTTGGAATCAGTGTTACTGTGAGTGTTCCGTCTAACAAAGTCCGTGTTGTAATTGTTCTTACTAGAAACGTTGTTAAGATAATCAGTCTCGTCTATAGTTGTCTTGTGGTATCGTCGTAAGTTTTAAGATAGGTTAAAAAGGGCAGGAAATTTTCTTTCATCAACGGCCTCTGTTCCTGCAATCGATGGAGGTTTCAATCCAGGACCCCAGTCCTAACTCTATTAATTCTTGCGCTACTGTTCCTCTCCATGTCTCTCAGGGTTTCTGTATTTTTAGTCCCTTCTGGTGCCCATTTGATGGCGGTGCCGGTGTCGGAATTGGGTAGAGTTAAACTAAGCTAAGTTATTCAAAATTTAATTTAAGTTAGTCTAAGTTATACAAAATTTAAGGCTTAAAAGAATTTAACGGTATCCTCCCTCAGAGACGCGAGTGTGAATCTATGGAGTTGCAATTTCGTTGTTCATAAGATTTGAAGTAATTGGTTGAAGCTTTTTGTTCTTCTTTCTTCTACAGAAAATCGATACCTTGTACTCAGTCGCTGTTCATATATTGTTCTTGATGAGGTTAGTAGTTTTAATTTGTTTTTATTTTTCTTTATTTATTTTTTTTTTTGCGTTATTTTGAATCAGATAAAGAATAAGCTGTTTTACAAAGGAAAATGCGGTGGAAAGCCCTACTCTATACTCAATCATTCGTCTGAGCCATGTCTGTGGTACTATTGTAGGCTGATCGTATGATTGACATGGGCTTTGAAACTGATGTTCAGAAGATCTTGGAGCATCTTCCAGTGAGCAACGTCAAACCTGATTCAGAAGATGCCGAGGATCCAGAAAAGTTGTTAGCTTATATGGGAAAGGACAAGTTTAGACAGGTTCGTATAAATAAATTATTGATTGATTGATTGATTGATTTATTAATTAAACCGCGGGCTCAATGTTTCTGGGTTTTTAGACTGGGGAGCTTGTTAGAAGTGGGCGGGGCTTAAAGAATTTTCACGGTTCACATGAAGTTGCCTTTAATATAATAGTGAACTTACGCAATAGGACGGGAAAGGAAAGAAGACGGCAAACCTTGTGTGACAAGCGTGACAATAATTTTGTTTGAAAAAACAGACCAGAAAACATTAATGATAAGGGAAGACCACGACAACACTCCCAAGTAATAGCCCTGTCACGTTTGTCACGCACAAGCGTTTTGCCGTCCTCTTCTTCCTGCCGTTCCGTTGCGTAAACTCACTAATATCTGTTTCTAGCCTTCGTATTTCGTTTGCTTCAACAACGAAAATAGGACTGGATACGTCTCGTCGAGGAGATGAAGTTGAGACTCTAGTCGGTGGACAGTACTAGAATGTAGTGTCACCACCAGCTGAACTTTTGAAAAATATTACAGAAGACCAGTGAGCTGAGATTCCTATCATTGACTTTTCTGTTTCACCTTGTTTAGACTGTAATGTTCACGGCGACAATGCCTCCACAAGTAGAACGCTTGGCCAGAAACTATCTAAGGTCAGTTATCGGTTTGTACTGAAACTGTATTTTCTATAGGAAAATTCATTACCTGACGAGGGAATTCCACGTTAAATTGCACGCGAAAACCGATATCGCACGAATCGCGAAGCGATGAGTGCGATATCGGTTTTCAAGTGCAATTTAACGTGGAATTCTCGAGTCAGGTAACGAATTTTCCTTGAATCGCATAATTGAATAAAAATCAGAAGAAAAAGAAAGAAAACGGCAATAATATTGTTTGTTTTTATCCTGAGCGCGCGCTCCAGAAAGCCATTTCAAAGTCAACTGTCAGAACTGTCATTGCGTTAGCGAATAGGAAGCAAGGTCAGTCGTACACGTTTGAACCTTCGACAACTTTTTTTGTACCTTGTGCTTGTTTTTACATTTGTTTTCAAACTTTTTACATGTAAACAAGCTTCACACTAATCGTAAGGATAAATAGAGGTATTTTACTGAATTTAGAAGCCGTTTATGTAGAACGTCTTTTTCAAATTGGTCATTTGCTCGAGAAGGAAAATAATTTACACCTTTTACCTCTTCGGCGGCAAAACGGAAAGAAATCAAGTGTCCAAGCGAAAGCACTGAAAGTTTAACATGTTTAACGTCGCGATTGACATAAGGTAAGTACCTTGAAATGTTTTAGAAATGCTGTTCAAGTTCAGCTCTGTTTTATACTTTTCTAAGTACCACGATTCAGGACGATTGCAGGCGGCGTACTCTTTTTCGTGTTTTCAGGGGCCATGTCCTCTTTGAAGGTATTTATTTCTTCTTCTGTATATGGGACAATCGACCCCGGCACTTCCTCCGTTGTCGCTTCTCCGTTTTGTTTGGTTGAACTTTGGATTGCCATTTTCTGGGCTGTGTTCACAGGATTTTCTTGTTTTTTCGTTGTCGCGAGTGAAAGAGGTTTTATGTCTCTTCGAGAATCTGTAGTTCAGTTCAAAACAAGGAAGAACCTCCGGCTCACTTTAAAAAACGCTTTCGTTTGTTTTTAACTCTTCAAAAAGTGACAATGAATGGTTTTGAAAACATTTTAAAATGACATTGTAGAAAACCTTTTTTGCATGTTGTTGTGTTAGAATTTGACGATAGTTGTTACGTAGATGCGAAACAATATCGCTTAGCCTCGTTTTCAACTCGCAATTCCACACTAAATACCTCGCTTCGTTAACCAATCAGAATGGGAGATTTTACTTAATTATGCGATTCTAAATAGAATAGACGATCTATCCGCACACAAAGCCGCTCACATTAACTAGAACTAACTAAATAATAAATAATCCCGGTATATACCCCTGGTAGATTTCGAGCAGTCTCTCTTTTTTCTTGGTCCGTTGAACAAAACTCGCGTGACTGAAGGCGCGAGACAGGAGAGGCACGAAAAAAGAGAGACTCTCTTTTATCTTCTCGGGCTGCCGCCCTCGTTTCTTCTGTCTCGCTCGACGCTCGCGCGCGTGCATTTCCCTCCCTAAATCTGAAGAAAAAGAGAGACTGCTCGCATTCTAACCCCCCAGCAGTATTTACCGCGCCAAGGCTAGTGAGACCGAGCAAAAGACTGAAAGAAATAGATCAAATAGACCATTTCATTTGCTTGAGAATTAAAAAAATCGTTTTCATATCAGAGACTTCGCACACTTTAGCTTCGTTTTAAAACAGAGGCTTGGGACAACTTGGAATTGGCCTATAAACGTAACGAGACTAACAATACCAACTGGATGGCGGCAAACCTGTTGGATATTTACAACCTTGGTTGAGGATTTGAACAAATCCAGCCAGCGGTTAGGGCGGGTATTGAACCCAGGGTCTTCGGATTGTAAGTCCAACGCACTAACCGCTCGGCCACGCTGCCCCCTAATATCAGCACCCATATTCCAATTCTTATCATTTTTATCATCACCTGTACCTTTAAGCAGTGATATGTCAGGGAGAAATTAGATGCTGGTCTACATTATAAAACGAGAAGCATTGACGAAGAATTCTTTGTTAAAAAGCAACCTCAAGTGACTGGGAACCTAACATTGTGATCATTTGTTTTTCCTTCAGGCGCCCAGCTGTGGTTTACATCGGTTCTATAGGTAACTTTTGTTAAGATCAAGTCTGTTTTAACCCTCCTTCAACCGGGTATACAGTGTAACGAGAATCTTTCCGTTTCTTTTTTCCCCTTTGCGGGATTATGACGGTCACACATCGGTCATTGACGCTGCATATCTAACCAGTTTTACACCATACTGAATTATGCCAGGGATGATTTCCTGAAAACTAGCTTACCACGTTATGATCTAAACTGCAGTTGTCAGGTTAAAATTGTGAGCCCAGTTCCTCAAAAGATATCAGCTAAGTTTAACCCAGGGTAAAACCTAATTTGAAGCAAAGTTTTTTTGTCTAGGTTAACATAATTGGAGGTTTTGAAATATTGTCCAGGTTATTAAAGCGGGCAGCTCTTCTTTTTCTGTTTCTGTGTTAAAGTAATTCAATTTTCTCTCATCACTTCACAGGCAGACCAGTCGAGAGAGTGGAACAGAAAGTTTATTTGGTTAAAGAACAAGCAAAGAGGTACGCCTGCGTGTATCATCTTTTATATGTTTATTAAACTGTAGCAATGTATGTAAATTTATTAAGGCGAGATTAATTGCGGTGTACTGTACTTTTTTCATCGTAAAACTCTGCTCTTCGTTTATGTTAGTCTATCCTGGCACTTCACATCTTATCTCCAAGCTACCAATAACGTTTTGCTGTGTATCTTTTTGTCCAATTCAGATGAATATTAACTCAGACTGGCATTTTGGTGCTAGAAAAGCGACTTTTGATTAGTATTGTGGGGAAACTGTCATATAATTGTTGTTGTTATGTAGCTGGAAATTTCTTCCCAACAGCGCGCGCTCTCATTGGTTACTTCGAGGTCACATTACATCTAACAGTTAAACCGTTTCCCGCCAAAATCTCTGAGCGGGTAACATTGAAAAATCTATGACGTCAGAGGGTAACAGAGCAGTGTTACCTGCGAACGTTGACAGTTACAGCGAGGTTTAATGAATTTCAATCTATATAACAAATCGTTTCGAGAAACAGTTAATTTAGTTTCCCTCGAATCTCAATGTCTCCCTCGGCTTATTAGGAAATAATATTAACTGTTTTGCTCGGGACCAGTCTTTTTAAAAGTGTTTGTTGTTGTTTCCTTGACAGGAAGAAGTTGTTAGAGATATTGAACGCTGGCATTGATCCTCCGATCATGATATTTGTCAATCAAAAGAAGGTGAGAGTTGCGTGTCACCGCAGCTGATAGTTGAGATGGCGTGCAAAAAAAATAACCCACGGAAATTGAGCGGAGATCAGTGAGAGCGAGGGCGGAGCTCTCATGCACTGACTCCCTCCTTGGGGATAGCTTGGACGAGATGGGCACGCGAGGAAGGAGGGAAGTCGTTGCGCGCCTTTCATGTACTCTCGTGCTGTACATCCCCTTTTCCCGTCTTCAATGCTGGCTAGTCTTCGTTCGGTTTCTGTAACAAAGCGAAGCTACGCCTCGCCGATCTCCAGAGTAAAGAGTCACATATCGGATAAGTTTTCGTACTGTACCGGATACCTTCTCGCTTCGACACGAAAAGCTAACCGTTATAGTATGAATACAGCCTGAGATTGGATTACGAGTAGGAGGAGATTGAGTAGGAGCTTTCAAACCAAGTTCATGAGCTCCAGATAAACACTTTCCACAACAATCTCTTACGTCTCTCTACGTTTTGTTAGCAGCAGGAACAAGTGAGTTACCTGAGAACATAAATGGCTTGAAATTCCAATGTCGTACTCACAGTCGATGATCACGCACTCCGAGTCAAATCTAGAGGTTGCTAATTATGAGACGACATATCTGTAATAAAGTTTAGCTGATTAACTCTTTTTTCGTCTGTCTTAGGGAGCGGACGTGCTCGCCAAGTCCCTGGAAAAAATGGGCGTAAGTTATCGTTTGTTGGCGTTGGGCGTGGGTGATTTTATATCTTTTCTCTTCGATGTAGGCTAAGGTTTTGTTGTAATTTGTTTTACCAAACGAACTTTAGCCTACGAGCAAGCTCTCCATTGGGGGTGAGGACAGGGGGTTGGCCGGGGTGTGGGGTCGCGAGAAGTCACGCGAGAGCAGCACGCTCGCGCCTTTGCTCGCCATACATGGAGAGTTTGCTAGCAGGCTAAACGTACTTGAGTGAAGCAGTGACTGCTTGAACGCTATTGCGGATCACTAAGTTGTTTTTATATAAGGATTTTTTGTGCCAGGTAAAACGAGCAAATTCTGTTTTGGTCGTCAGTTTTGACTGACAGCGTATAAGGCGGATCGTGAACACTCGGGGCAAACGTTTTTCACTGTCATTCTTAAAGTGCCTGGTTTGCCCACTATTTGATTTCATCTTCGATCGTTTTTATCCTTTTGTTTCTTCAGTTGCATACCTTCCCGTTTTTTAATTTTCGTTCCCGAGAGCGGGCACATACATAACTTCCTGAATTTTTTCTTACAGTTCCGTGCTACAACACTCCACGGTGGACGAAACCAAGAACAAAGGTGAGGTTGATATGTAACCTCTTCTTTTTATTTCGTCGTCATGGTTGTTAAATATCTGTTTTGTAAATCTAGAGAGACACCGAGAGTATAGGAAACTAAGAAAACAAGGGCCTGAACAAGGGTATTGGACGGATGGATCGATGTTTCAGTGAAATTCCCGACTGTTTTGTACACCAGTGTTGTCGTTTTTTACATGAAGTTATGATCGTCGCAGTGGTAGTTGTAATTTAAGCAATTACAAATATGTATAAACCCGAAAAAAAAAGAAATTCGGGACTTCATCGAACCCATGGCCTTTGCGTTAGCGCTGCAGTGCTCTACCATTTGAGCTATGAAGACCCATATATTGGGAGCAGGCCAATTTGTTTAGTTCACCTTCACCGGTGAAAGGAATGAAACATGAAAGACGATGTGAACTGCCGAAGTACAAATTTTATGAAGATATGATCGTCGAAGTGGTAGTTGCAATTTAGGCAATAACAAATAAACCCGAAAAAAAAAAACCGTTTTTAGGTTAAACAGCTCTGTCAACGATAATCTTCGATCGGGCCCTTCTTTTTTTAGCAAGCACGACGAGCCCGCAGTCGTTTGCTTGATTAAACTTTGCAAACATTTTTGCCATGCATCTCTACACTCAGTTTCATTAGTTTGTCAACTGAGTCGAACATACGCGGTTACTTAACATCTGCATCTTAATTCTGAACGTGTCATAAAGATTCATTTTGTTGGTTTTCTTTCAGAGAGTTTGCATTGTCGAGTCTTAAAGCTGGTGCTAAGGACATCCTTGTGGCCACTGATGTAGCCGGTCGTGGTATTGACATCAAGTAAGTTTCATGATAAACAGTTTGATTTCTTTGTTTTCTTGTTTTTGTTGTCTCCAGGCCTGAAGATGATTTTCTTAAACTCATTTTCAAACCCAACCTGGAGACCGGTTAATCGGAGAGAACCCTGGGAACGGGGTTGATGGTCAAACTTCTGAAGTTTTTTTTTTTTCACTAAATGTGTGTTTTATAGCGCAAGTAAAATCTCTCAAATTTGATTTCTTCATGTCATTTCTCTTCCAGGGACGTTTCACTTGTTCTTAACTATGACATGGCCAAGTCAATCGAAGGTAAGTGATGAGTTTAACATTGAAACCTTAAGCTTAAAGTAAAAGTAATTCATCGAGACGAACGGTGTTGATAATCGTATCTTACGATATACAAACTTTATTAAGTACGGGGTTAACCAGTATGTGATGCGTTTAATTTTGTCTCATTTCTTCATCCATGGATTGTACACTTTTGGTTTTATGTACTATATTATTGTAATTCTTTGACAATTTTGAAAGATTATTTTGATGTTTCAGTCAAATTATGTCTATTCCGTGAGTGCTGGAATAGACCTTATTCACGATACGCGCCATCTCACGAGCGAAAGGATTTATGGGATAAAGGAAATATCGTGTGGTTTCTAAGGAGGCAAAAAAACTTATTAAAAGCTGTCCATAAAAGAAATCGCAGCCGAGTTTGTTTATTCCCTCAGATGAGAAACCACGTGACATCCCATTCCATCAACCTTGCGCGCTTCCAAAGGTGGCGGGTATTATGAAGAAGGTCTATTGCCTAAATTTACGGAAGCCACCACATAGCCAGTGCCCTATGGCTGCTAACATGTCATTGTTTTCATTTTTTATCAGGCTACACTCATCGTATTGGTAGAACCGGTCGAGCAGGAAAAACCGGTGTTGCCATCACGTTTTTGACCCAGGAGGACTCAGCAGTGTTTTATGACCTCAAGCAGACATTATTAGCGAGTCCCGTACGTACAATGCTTTTAATTTTACCGAGCGTCAAAAAACCCATTTTTCCACTCACTGAAAGTTGATTCGACTATAACTAACTGATTTATGTTCTTGCAAATCTTGTATATTGTTTATGAATTTTATTGTTCATATCTGAGTCTGAATTGGGTTAAAATGTTTATTCTTGTTTGCCCAAAATTTAACATTTAATTTAAAATATTTGGTTATAAGGGTTATAGTGTGTTAGGCGAAAATTGAGTGTTACAGGGCCAATGTAGTGCTCTAAATCTTTAACCAGGCGCTAGTTAAGTATCAGACTAATTTTCGTATTTACTATTATTTTATGTATAAGCGAATGGATTCTTAGTCGTGCTATGGCGAATAACAAGCAAAAAACACCAACATGAACAGTTGTCAGCGGTTATGACATGGGGGAGGGGTACATTGTCTTTAGTAAATGGCTTATTTCTGTATCGTTTATAGGTGAGCCACTGTCCTCCGGAGCTTGATAAACATCCTGATGCACAGCACAAACCTGGCACAGTGCTTACAAAGAAGAGAAAGGAAGAAACCATTTTTGTATAAATACCTAAATAAATCCAGTATTCGCAAGGCCGGAAGCCGCTTTTTATGGCCGTGAAAATAGTAAAACAGTCAAGGGTATAAAGCTATGAAGAAAATAAACAAAATTTTAAAATATTTATTAGTGATATCTTTTAAAACCTTTTCAGAGCATGAATGAGTAATTAATGCATTATTCTTTATTCTTGACATGCTAGCGTCGGAGCCTCCAACCGCGTCTGACTGAAACAAAGAGTTTGGCTGGGCTGAATTTTAGACGTCTCAGCAGTCAAGGTTTTATAGAACTTGCCCCTGTTGATTTTTCAAGCCATCTTTTTCTAGCCTGTTCCAGGCTCTTACGGTGATGTTACACGGAACGATTCGTAGCGACGATTTTTAGCGCAACACAGCATTACAACATTGTTGCGACGTTGTTTCGAATAGTTGCAACATTGCAACGCAGTGTTGCGCTAAAAGTTGTCGTTGCGAATCGTCTCGTGTAACATTACCTTAAGATAGTAGTAGCCTGCGTAGCAGGCGCTTGGAAGTAATTGGGCGCAAAAAAGAACGGGGCGCGCGAGGGAGACACGCGAGGGGAGAGGGTGTCTCCCTCGCGCGCCCAGTTCTTTCCTGCTCCCAATTACTTCCAAGCGCCTGCTACGCAGGCTTAGATAGAAAGGTTGACGCGTAAGTGAAAAACACGCGAAAATATCAGCGCGTGATCTGGGAAAAGAGAGCAGTGGCGGGAAAAAAGAAGCTCTTCCTCTCCCCAGTTTCCTCTCGTTTTATTTTCGTGTTTGCACCTTTTCTATTTCGCAGAACCGACTATCTTGGAGCCAGGAACAGGCCATCTTTTTCCATCTCTGTGGCCCCAGGGTGATGATGGTAACTTTAGTACTTGTACTGAAAATTTTTGACTTCTCAAACAGACTTTGATAAAACATCAAACACTCTTTTAGTGCATCAAAACTGCAATAGTATTCTGACTTCCGTGGAAACACCGGTTAAGAATGGACTTCGTTATTTTGTGAACATATATACACCATAAGAAAAGAGAACTTTTTCATTACACGTACTCTGAAATTCAAATGAACATACACCGAGAAAAGAATGCATCTTGAAATCTAGGGCTATTTTTAGCAATACGCAACAACTTCCGGTCAAAAACACTTGCTTTAAGTAAAAATCATTCGCAATATAATTTAAGTTAGTTTAAGTACAATTGACGCCGAACACTGGAGTAGCTTTTATTTATAGGATTACTCCTTTATATCTATTTTGCTGAGATGACGTACGCACAATTTTCAGTTTCAGTGTCGTTCAGTTTTCAGTTTCAAATATAGCTTGAGTCCAGACACGAAATCAAACGTTTCGTTGTAAGAGATATGCTCCATAGCTAATAGCAATACAGTTTTCCTGCGGGAAGCGGTTTTGCGATTGCTTTCTAAAATTCCTTTTTCGTCTTGGTGAAAAGAACTCGCACCACAATCGCCAGAACCTTGTCACAACATTACTTCTTAAAACTTATAGCTAAACAACAGCATGTGCAGGGCATTTTATGTCGAAGCTGACGACACGTCAAGAGTTTAAATCAGTTTAAATCAGCTTTAAAACTTATGACTAACAAAACTTTTGCATATCATACGGCAATGGCTGTGGTTAAAATTTTTAACGTTTACTTAAACAGGGGCACCCAACGAGGATATAGTTCAAAACCACTTAACATAGCATTGTTGAACGTATTTTAGTATTCAAACGGTAGATATAGGCATATTTTTATCTCCTAAAAACTTTTCATCTGTTCGGATTTCCTAGCTGAAAGTCTAGTGATCCGAAAATTATAGGGATAAAAACTTACCTTCTCGAAAATTTTAGCCAGGAAAAGGCTCCCGAAAATTCCAGGTGGCCTTTTTTAGGGTCAAAATCCGTTAAAAATGGGTAATTATACCATTTTGTAGATGTTCGAAAATCCTAGGAGAGGCAGGCAAGCAAGAAAGTTTACAACAAATGCTCCGAAAATTCTAGATCTCAAATCGTCTTCCGAACAGATATTTTCCCGAAAATTGCCGTTGGGTGCCCCTGCTTAAAGAAAGTACGTGCGGATCGTTTTCAACGTCTGGCGGGTGGAGCGAACAATGGCTCTGAAGTGGTGGCTTTTGTGGTCTGTGATTCAATGTTCGGTAGAGTTGAAGGGTACATTGTAGCGTCGCTCTTTTTAGCTACACCTCGCTGACTCCCAGCAGTGCACTCGCACCTGGAAACTAAGCAAACAAGATCAAGTCAGAGTCAATCAGCAAGAAGGAAACTGCTAGCTGACTACCTCTAACTGCTAATAGTGGTTCAGCAATCCGAAAGTGAGTGATTTGTGAGACAAAGATTTTCACAAAAGTTCTCCAGTACACACGGAGCGATTTGTCGCTGCGACGTGTCGCCACAACATCATTCGCTACAAGTTGTCGCCTAGTGTGTACCGCGGCCTTAACGCATCGCAGTCGTATCCCAGAGAAAGTAGGCAAAACTCATTAGAATACGCCAAGCAACATTCAATTTGCTGCGCAATTTAGACGTAAGACTCGTTCGATAACATCTTCTTTTTACAAAATAACAAAAACACGCGTCCACCCGCGCTTCATGCTCCCTCGCATGAAACAACATGCCCTGCATCCCACCACCTCCAAAAACCGGTTTGTACCAGTTTGTCTAACCATCCTATTGGGAGGTCGCCATTTTCAATAGTTCTCCTCCTAGCATTCATGGGAGACCACCATTTTGGATGATTTGGTTCAAGCATCCTCGAAATACTACTCAGCGGTATCCAACTAGCATAGCTAACCAGACGGCCCTTCCAAAAAATGTTGCCTTTGAATTCTAACTGATATTTGCCTGAATAAACAAAGTTATTCTGCTTTAACTATCTTTAAATAGAAACAGAAACTCATGCTTTGTTTTGCTTACTTTTTTCTTCCAACTCCATGACTATGGCAGACAGCATTTTCATCTGATCTTTAAGAGCGGTTAAATCTTCAGGCTGAAAATACAAAAAGACCTTTTTGTTACCACGCGTCATGTCCACCAAAAAAATACTTTTTGTAGGCTCTCTGTGAATAGCAAATTGAAATGATGTTAAATGTCGCTATTTCAGAAAGAAAAAGTGCAATCCAGAACAATTATAATAATCTTTTCAAAAGGCTTCAGAGCGAAAAAGCAGAGTTTTGAACATGCACTACTTCCGCCATATT